TGTATATTGTGCTTATTGGACTATGACTGCCTTGAAACCAGGGCTTTATGGCACTCAGCTCAGTCCTTGGCACACCATAGCTGTTAGCTGAATACACGAAATTATGTAGCATCATTTCTAGTTGTTACCATAGGGCTCAGGGCATCTGTTATCTTAGGGAAAATGAAGCCATTTTTGTCTTATTTCACTTTGGTGTTTTTGAAAACAATATCGGTATCCCCCTGGACAATAAAACCCAACATCTTCTGTATATTAAACCCAACACTCTCTATACAACAAAACCTGAATGACCCTAGTGTGTTATGCTGTGTTAGTTGCTCAGCCATGTCCAACTCTTTGTGACCCCACAGAGTAGCCCACCAGGCTCTTCTGTCCATGGAGTTCTCCAGGCAAGAATGCTGGAGTGGGTTGCCATTTCCTTCTCCAGGGGACCTACCCAAATGACCTTAGGCTATAGTCAATTTGATGTCCATAGACCATTTTTATAAAAGGAGACTAGGTTAAACACAAAGTCTTAATGAGCCAGTCATTTGTTGAGCTATATCAACTTGAGACATTTCAGTGGACAAGGGGCAAGGGCATGCGTCAGCTATCTCAGTTACCCTCGTATGATATGACTTCTGAAACGTGCTTTCCTCTCATTTACTCTCCTCCATCCTTTGAGACCTAATCAAATTCACCTCCTCCAAGAATCATTCCCTGTTGAAGACAGATACGAATAGTTGAGGCTATCCTTCAAATATCAAAGTACATGATCAATGTTTTTCATTTTTTACTTGCTACCATTTTGTAGCAAATAATATCTTTCAGTTACTCATTACACTAATTATTATGGAGAAATGATTATGTGCCAAGGACTTGAAGACTAGTGGAAGGAGCAAATGAGTGATCATATTTACTAAGCATTGTGCCAAATGTTACAAAAGAATGTGCACAGAAAAGTACAGGGTTGAAGAAGTAGATGCTACATCAGTCTTAGAGTGAGAGATCACAGATGAATTTGCTTTACCAAATTTACTATAATTAGTTGAATAAATGCTTTAATGTCAAAATAATATAAGGATGTCATTTTTGGTACTTTGAAGTTTACATCATGTATACACTTTACTTCTATTTAGATTAAACTTAGTCATTGATATATTATTTGCCCTTCTAGTAACTAACACAGCACATGACAATTAATAATGGTCTGGAATGAGAAGCTGACATCAGAAAATTCCACTGTGGAGATATTATGAATTCCACTGTGGAGATATTATAATATATATATATATTATATATAATTTATACATCTATATATTTATGTTATATATAATTATTATGTGATTAATTATATATGTAAATCATATATATTATATATAAATTATATATATATAATTTTCCTACAACTAAGGAATACAATAAAATTCAAAGAAAGTGACAGTTTGTGTTATCATCAGAGATACAGCTCAATGGAGGGAAAATTGTTGAAATTTTACCATCAGCTTTCTTTTAGCAAATCCTTTGGCTCTACATTAATATGCCTTTTCTCAATCTGTTCCCATTCCTGAACTTTAACCATTATTTAAGGTTTTATGTCCCTTTCATGTCTAAACTGCTCTAAAAAAATATCCTGGTATGTGTCAAGTTTCAGGAAAGTGGAGACATTTTATGTGTTATATTTGACCTTGGGAAAATGTGTGAGGTGAAATGCAAGAGACAGTTGGGGAAGTATTTGGAGGGATCAACAGACATTTGGTTTCCTTGAAGATATACCTCAAGAGTATAATTCCTATGTAAAATCAATCCTGTGAGAACATTTCTGTAGGTTGAATTGTTCTCTGAAAAGAGATGTTCAAGCTCTAACCCCTGGCATATGTGAATGCAAACTTGTTTAGAAATAAATGTCTTTGCGGATGTAGCCAGTTAAGATGAGCTCATACCAGAGTAGGCTGGACCCTAAATCCAGTGTGGTTGGCGCCCTTACAAGAGGAGAGAAGATATACAGACATGGTGAGAGGTCACATGAGGATAGAGGCAGAGAATGGAGTGACATGTGTACAAGCCTTGATTTGAGTCATTTGACTTCCAAAACAGTGAGACAATAAGTGTTTACTGTTTTAAGCCATCTAGTCTTTGGTAATTTGTTGCAGCAGCCCAAAGAAACTGATACAAAAATCAACTGTCAAGTATAAACCATAAACTTGACCTGCTCTATCCCAGTTAACTGAAAAGAGCCCTTGCCGTCACCTCACTGTGAGCTCTGACAGCTGGTGTCAAAATGGAAAGAGCATCTGGGCATACTGAAAATTACAGTTTCATGCCCTCAGCACCCTGACCTCCTGAATAATCCTTTTCAAAAGAAATTCACTCACTCTTTGATTCATTCATTTGACAAATATTTGCTGAATACATATTTTACACCAGCACTGTTCTAAGCACTGAAAATAAATCAGTGAACAAGGAAGAAGAAATATCCCTCTGGGATGAGGTCTACATCACAGAGGTAGTTGATAAAGAACTTCGATGTTTAGGAATCATCAAATTGATAGGTCATGTGCTTTGGCCAGTTTATTTTTTGTTCAATTATGATGTGGAACATTAATCAGATAATTAATCAGACAAATGTTGTCATACTTTATGAAAAGGTTTGTTCTACCCATGTAGAGTGGAATAGATGTCCACTGGTTCTGGGGAAAAAAAGGAAGGAAATCTCTAAAAAGCATTGAAAGCATCATCACAGAAGAAGAATATTCAGGAAATATCCTGTGAATACTTCCTGGGGACTTCCTCTGCTCTTTCCCTAAAGATTGAAAATTGTTTAACGGGGGTGACAGAGAATGAAATGGTTAGATGGCATCACCAGCTCAATGGACGTGAGTTGAGCAAGCCCCAGGAGACAGTGAAGGACAGGAAAACCCAGTGTTCTGCCATCCACGGTGTCTCAAAGAGTCGGATACAAGTCAGCAACTGAACAACAACAGCAATGCTCTTTCTGGCCAAACACCTGTCAAATTCCCTATTTTCACTTGATTTTAATTAGAAGCAAGAATTAATGCACTTTTAATTAATTGCACATCTTCTCTCCTTAATTCCTCTGTTGCTTGTTTCTCCACTAGATAACCTGCAAATAGAATTTTGAATTGGATCACCTCCTCTGAGGCCCCTTCAGTCCTGGCCTGGCCTGTCTTAGCAAAGCCCATCTTGGTCTAGGAAATGGCAGCTGAAGGGCAGAAGCCCCAGAAGAGAAGCCCTGCCGTACACTGACCTGGAGACCTAGAGGCCCCTGGATGCACTGCTATGCATTCTTTCATTTTTGCTTTTAAAGAAGAGAACGCTAAAGCTGAATGTCTGCATGAAGATGAAAATCTCACCTAAAGCCACACAGCTGGTGTGAAGGAGATAATGGTTCAAGTCTAGATTTGCTGGCCCTGTGGTCTGTGCTTTCATTTCTAAAACATAAAAGTAAGTGGACCAATTTCTGGAGCAATGAGAGGGGTTGTCCCTCCACAGTCAAACGTTACAGACAGAACCCCTGAAACATAGAGAACAGTGTCAGGCCAAGTTCGGAAGAAGAGTTCATAACCAAGAAGGTACAGCAGGGCAAATCACTGGAATTTGAGTAAGATCACTAAACATTTATCAGTAGAAGCTGTGTGGATCTTTTTGAGTTCATAGCTTTCATGGCTATTAATACAACCACAATTCTGGAGACCTCATTGTCTATTGTAGTTCTATGCTTTTTTTTTTAATTGTAGCTGACTTACAATATTATATTTGTCTCAGGTGTACAACATAATGATCTGATATTTTATAGGCTATGTGCTATAAAATAATTATAAAATATTACAAAATATTGGCTGCTATTATATCCCATGCTGTATATATTACATCCTTATCTATTTTATACCTAGCTGTTTGTACTTCTTAATCCCCTTTACCTCTTTTGTCCTCCCCACACACCTCTGCTCTCTGGATACCGCTAATCCGTTCCCTGTATCTGTGAGTCTGTTCCTGTTTCATTATATTTGTTTGTTTTAGATTTAGATATTTAGATTCCACATATGAATGAAAACATGCATTTGTCTTTCTCATCCGACTTATTTCACTGAGCACAATACCCTCCAGGTCCATCCATGTTGCAAATCACAAAATTCCATTGTTCTATATTCTCCTGTATCTTGTACTAGCTGCTAGGCTGTATTATTTGCTTGGAAAGGCAAGCCTGTATCTAATAAAAGGATAAGTTAAACTTTTACACTCACTTTTGGGCATTTGGGCCTCAGTGAAAACAATGAAGAGCACTTCTAACAGTAAAACCCTTCAGATCTGCACACGTACTTATTCTGGGCTGAGTCATATCTCAGGAGGGCAGTACGGTGAGAACTGAAAGCCTTTGCTGCTGAAGCAGTGAGTTCTCAGGGTTGCATTCACATTAAATCCAAGCAGTTAAGGGCAGACTGCCTCTCTTGGTTTGTGCCACCAATGCCTTTTAAAGCCCTTGGCACCTAGAGGAGGCTCAGCAAATACTCATGATGTTCCTAATCACTACTGGTTCTTTATTCATCAGAAATAGGTCACTGAGGCTGCAAATATGCGAAAGGATGAGAGCTGGTGGACAAGTCTTTAACACTATTATATTCTTAAACTTGTTAAGTTTTTCATGATTCTTATTTATAACAATTATTAGGAATACAAGTGAGGGTCAAATTTTTGAGTGTCTGCTACTTATTAAGAGATCACATTTGCTCCCAAAAGTATTTAACACGTATACACCCTTAGCAGTTCTCCTTAAGTTTCCTTCAGGTCTCCCATCAGCTGGTTCAAACACCAGGCTGTTGGTCAGTAGCACAGACAGGTCAGTGAAAGCTCCTGTGGCATCTCCTCCAGATACTTAGAGACTGAACTCTCACAGCCAAGGAGAAGCTGGGACAAACATAGACTGAGAAGGTTCAGTGGCTTCTCTGTGAAAACACTGATGCTCATAAACAAGACAAGGACAATGATGTTGGTCACTTTTATTCAGTCTTGTTTGCATGAAATAAATCCTGGCAAAGTTTAGCTATGACAGTTTCTGGCAGGCAGTGGGAAATGTGCCTTTGCAATTGCTCTTTGGTTAATTAAAATTATTCCTTCATCTTCTCTAAACAGCTTCAAGGGGTCACTTAGGGGAGCAGAGGAACCAGTCTAGTTCCATTTCACATAGGATTGTTCTGACTTTCATTAGGCCATGTGGATGCTGTATGCTAACCATCCCTAGGGATGTTCAAAATTGAGGAAGAAAAATACATGGAGAAAGTAGTTTAGGAAATGAGATTTATAGTTTTAAATCCGCACACTATTAAAATTATAAAAGACAAAACACACATATGAAATTAATGTTAACCCATTTCAAAAGCAGGCCTGTATTAATAAATGCCAGGAACATCATACACTTCCTTTGGTTTCATAGTACAATGAGATATTAGGGCTGACGGAACCTCAGAAGGTTGTTTAGCACAGAACATCTCAGGATTATTAGAAGGATAACGTGTGATCAAAACTCCATATGTGTGGAGGCTGCATTAATTTCAATTGACGCAAGTTGTGAAGAACCATTTGCTAATCAAAAGATAGAAATTTGACATTAATAAGAATAAAATTTATTTTATTTGTAAGAATTAGATTTTACTTATCATTGTGCTACTTATTATTTAGTGGCTTAATCATTTTTGAGCAAACGGTAAGTTAAGTCATAGTTAGCATTCAAATATTTTCAAAAATTGTAGGCTGCCTTTGATGAGAGTTTTTAAATTATGACTCGTGGGGTTGATAAACAACAAGGTCCTACCATATACCATAGGGAACTACATTTAATATGCTATGATAAACCATGATGGAAAAGAACACAAAAAATTATATATATATATATATATATATAAAATTGAATCACTTTGCTATACAGCAGAAACTAACACAACATTATAAATCAACTTCAATAAAACTTAAAAAGAATAATGACTCATTATTCATCAGTTCCTTTAGACACACTGGGCACCCTCCATGTGCCAGATGATCCACTGGGAGAAAGTCATTTTGTTGTTGCTAAGACGATCACTCTTTTTTTTTTTCAATTAGAGGATAATTACTTTGCAATATTGTGATGGCTTTTGCCACATGTCAGCATGAATCTACATTAGGTAAAATGTGTCCCCTCCCTCTTGAATCCTCCCCTTCCACCTCTCTCCTCTTTTTACCCCTTTAGGTTGTCACAGAGCCTTGGCTTTGGGTTCCCTGCATCATACATTGAACCCTCACTGGCTGTCTATCTTACATACGGCAATGTATGTGTTTCAATGCTATTCTCTCAAATCATCCCACCCTCTCTTCCCCCAGCTGTGTCCAAAAGTCTGTTCTTTATGTCTGTGTCTCCTTTGAGGCACTGCATGTAGGATCGTCAGTACTATCTTTCTAGACTTCATATATATGTGTTAATATACAATATTAAGCTTTCTCTTTCTGACTTTTCTCACTCTGTATAATAAGCTCTAGGCTCCTCCATCTCATTAGAACTGACTCAAATATGTTCCTTTTTATAGCTGAATAATAGTCCATTGTGTGTATATACCACAACTTCCTTATCCATTCATCTGCTGATGGACATCTAGATTGCTTCCATGTCCTAGCTATTGTAAATAGTGCTGCAGTGAACACCGGGGTGTATGTCTTTTTCAATTCTTGTTTCCTGTGAGTATATGCTCAGCAGTGGCATTGCTGGGTCGTATGATAGCTTTTATCCTAGTTTTTTTTTTTTTTTTAAGGATTCTCCATACTGTTTTCCATAGTGGCTCATTCAATTTGCATTCCCACCAACAGTGTAAGAGAGTTCCCTTTTCTCCACACTCTCTCCAGCATTTATAGTTTATAGACTTTTTGATGATGACCATTCTGATTGGTGTGAGATAATACCTCATGACAGTTCTGATTTGCATTTTTCTAATAATGAGCAATGTTGAGCATTTGTCATGTGTTTGTTAGCTATTTGTGTGTCTTCTTTGGAGAAATGTCTATCTAGGTCTTCTGCCCACTTTTTTAATTGGGCTCTTTGCTTTTCTGGTGTTGAGCTGCATAAGCAGCTTGTATATTTTTAAGACTAATTCTTTGTCAGTTGTTTAGTTTGCTGTTAACTTCTCCCATTCTGAGAGCTGTCTTTTCAAATTGCTTATAGTTTCCTTTGTTGTGCAAAAGCTTTTAAGTTTAATTAGATCCCATTTGTTTATTTTTGTTTTCATTTCTGGAACTGGAGAAATCAATGGCTTCAGATTATACTGCAAAGCTACAGTCATCAAGACAGTATAGTAGTGGCACAAAAACTGAAATATAGACCAATGGGACAAGCTAGAAAGCACAGAGATAAATCCACAGACCTGTGGGCACCTTATCTTTGACAGAGGCAAAAATATACAATGAAGAAAAAACAGTCTCTTCAACATGTGGTACTGGGAAAACTGGTCAACTATGTGTAAAAGGATAAGATTAGACTACTTCCTAACATCATGCAAATAAACAAACAAAAAACTTAAAATGGATTAAAAACCTAAATGTAAAACCAGAAACTACAAAACTCTTAGAGGGAAACATAGGCAGACCACTCTCTGACATAAATCACAGCAAGATCTTCTACAACTCACCTCTTTGAAGCTTTTACTCCAACTGTTGTAACTCTTGAAAAATAGGCCAGGTCCCAAGGTAGCACGAGTCTCCATGGGCCAGCTCTTTTTTTTTTTTTTTTTGAGGGCATCATTATGATTTTTACCCAACATACATACATACATGCACGCCCACAAGCATATATATGTATACCTACATACCAAAACTTGAAGGAAATACCTTAATATGTTGAGGTATTTATCTCTGAGAAGGCTAAAAGAAATTTTAGACTTTCAAGCATTTTTTAAAAATTTACAGCAAATATGTTTGCTTTAAAACAGCAACAAATATACTATTAAACAATTGGTTTTTCATCTTTGGCTCAAACTGGAAAAGGACATATATGTTTTATCCAAACACAGGTCCAGTTCAGTTCAGTCACTCAGTCATGTCCAACTCTTTGCAACCCCATGGACTGCAGCTCATGAGGCCTCCCTGTCCATCACCAACTCCCAGAGTTTACCCAAACTCATGTCCACTGAGTCAATGATGCCATTCAACCATCACATCCTCTGTCATCCCCTTCTCCTCCTGCCCCCAATCCCTCCTAGCATCAGGGTCCTTTCAAATGAATCAGTTCTTCGCATCAGGTGGCCAAAGGATTGGAGTTTCAGCTTCAACACCAGTCCTTCCAATGAACACTCAGAATTGATCTCCTTTAGGAAAGACTGGTTGGATCTCCTTGCAGTCCAAGGGACTCTCAAGAGTCTTCTCCAACACCACAGTTCAAAACCATCAATTCTTCGGTGCTCAACTTTATTTACAGTCCAACTCTCACATCCATACATGACTACTGGAAAAACCATAGCCTTGACTAGATGGACCTTTGTTGGCAAAATAATGTCTCTGCTTTTTAATATGCTGCTTAGGTTGGTCATAACTTTCCTTCCAAGGAGTAAGCATCTCTTAATTTCATGGCTTCAATCATCATCTGCAGTGATTTTGGAGCCCCCAAAATAAAGTCTGCCACTGTTTCCACTGTTTCCCCATCTATTTCCCATGAAGTGATGGGACCGAATGCCACGATCTTAGTTTTCTGAATATTGAGCTTTTTTTTGTAAATTAATTTATCTATTTTAATTTGAGGCTAGTTACTTTACAATATTGTAGTGGTTTTCACCATACATTCACATGAATCAGCCATGGGTGTACATGTGTCCCCCATCCTGAAACCCCCTCCCACCTCTCTCCCCATCCCTTCCCTCAGGGTTGCAAAACAGCAAAAGAGACACAGATGTAAAGAATAGGCTTTTGGACTCTGTGGGAGAAGGCAAGGGTGGGATGATTTGAGAGAACAGCATTGAAACATGTATATTACCATACATGAAATAGATCTCCAGTCCAGGTTCAATGCATCAGACAGGGCGCTCAGGGTTGGTGCATGGGCCAGCTCTTAACCCAACTTTCTGAACCTAAGAGAAGGAGATAGGATCTGATCACCATGGAACCCAAACTGTTTTCCTTATGTGTTTAGTGTAATAGGAGAATTCCAGAATTTAAAGATTTTAACTTTGTTTTATACAGCTGAGACTTCTTATTAATGTCTGAGATGTGTTTGGGTCCTGAATACATGCTTCATACATTTAAAAAAAAGGATCTATTTCATTACTCTGAAAAGGACTCCATAACGTATCCCTAAGTCTCACCTTTCTCAATTTTATACAAAGAAGTATGGGTGGCCCTTATGTAATTTGGCAACTAATCATTGACTGTGGAAAGAAAGAGGCCATGAAAAATTCCTACCTTTTAACTTCAGCTCCAAGCTCCAGAATCCTTACATTATTATTAAATATTTCATACCACTTCCTCCACCTCCTCAATACCCTCTAACATACTTATTTTTTTTCTTTGTCTTTAGATGCCACATTTATAAAACCAATGTATTTCTTGACAAATACATTCTGAGGTTGTTACATCTTAATTTAATTAGTTGTATTGTATAATAAGTAGAGTGACCATATAATTTATTTTCTAAACCAGGACACTGAGATTTAAAAGGGGAGCTAGTAATAATCACTCTGAGATAACAGGCAAACCTGGGGTTACCTTTGCCAAATTGATACTTAAGATCATGTTAAATATAAACTCAAAGCTTTTTCTTAATTCAATCTCTAAGTTTTTTCAGATCTTTCTATAGTTCAGATTAGTGAGTAGTGAAGTTTATTACAAGTATGCCCTAATATGCTACCATATGCAAAACTAAAATGAATTATCCCATTTGCTTTTCTTTTTAATTTACTGGACTGTAGTTGATTTACAGTGCTGTATTAATTTTAGGTGCATTGCAAAATTATGCATATACATATGTCATGCTAGTCACTTCAGTCGTGTCTGATTCTTTGTGACCTTATAGACGGTAGCCCTCCAGGCTCCTCTGTCCTTGGGATTCTCCAGGCAAGAATACTAGAGTAGGTTGCCATGCCCTCCTCCAGGGGATCTTCCTGACCCAGGTGTCAAAGCCATGTCTCCTGCATCTCCTGAATTACAGGTGGATTCTTTAGTTGCTGAGTCACTGGGGAAGCTCATATATATCTGTATGTATGTATGTATGTATGTATGTATCTATCTATCTATCTATCTATCTATCTATCTATATCATATATTTTAAGATTCTTTTCCCATATAGGCTATCACATAGTAATCAGTAGAGTTCCCTGTGTTTTTTTAGTATGTCCTTATTTCTTTTTTTTTTAAAGTTGCTCAGTGGAGTCTGACTCTTTGTGTCCCCGTGGACTGTAACCTGTCAGGCTCCTCCTGTCCATGGAATTCTCCAGACAAGATTACCGGGGTGGGTAGCTGTTCCTTTCTCCAGGGGATCTTCCCAAGCCAGGAATCAAGCCCAGGTCTCCGGAGTTGCAGTCGGATTCTTTACCATTTTAGCCACCAGGGAAGCTTCTATTTTATACATAGCAGTGCAGGTATGTCAATCCAAATTTTCTAATTTATCCTCCCCCCACCCCTCCTTACCCCCTGGGTCACCATGAGTTTATTTCCTACATCTGTTACTCTACTTCTATTTTGTAAATACAGTCATTTGTACTTTTTTTTTTTTTTTAGATTCCATATATGAATGACAATCTCTAGGCTTATCCGTGTTGTTTAAGGGGCATTGTTCTTTTTTAGGACTGAGTAATTGCTTTTTAAAGTCAACATTCTGCTTATTGCTACTGTATTTGGGATTCTTTTGTCTATTTTTATAATTGCTTATATTAGTACTTCCAGGCCTGTAAATGAACTATTAATATCCTTTATCCTTTGGTCATTTTTCTGATGGATTTTTCTTTCCCTGCTGATTTGTAAGAATTCCTATGTGGTCTAGATGTGACTATTTTGCAAATTAATATTTTATAAATATCTTCTATTTGGTGCCTTCTTACTAGTTTGTCTCCAGTGTTCCTGGTTAAATACAAATTTATATGCTGATGTCTATTCATTTTCCCTTTATATTTTGTGGCTTTGAAATTCTATGGAGAATCTCCTTAGTCTCAAGGTCACAATGATGTTTTTTTCTCAATTTTTGTGTGTTTTCTATCTCTACCTTTCACGTTTAGGTCTTTATTACATTTGGGATTTACATTTTCTGATTCTAGAAATAAAATATTTTAACTCAGTTCCACTTCAAAACTGAAAGTGGTCCATTTTTGAAGTGCTGTGAGTTAGTAATTCAACTTTGATCTTCAAATGTAGTGACTCAGATTTTCCATTTCTAAACATCTCTCCTTTCACCATGGATTTGGGTGGTCATCTCTAGCATACAACACGTTTGCAGATTATTGGATCTATTCTTTGTCCCTATTTGTCAAGTTGTATTCCAAAACACTGTTTTCATTATGATTGTTTTGAAACATATTATCTGGTAGAGTTTACCTCCATCCCTTCTCTTTTTCTCTAACATTTCTTAACTACTGAAAACATTGTTTAATCAATTTGCCAATTTACCCCCCCCCCAAAAAAAACCTGCTACTGAGAATTTAATTAAAATTACATTGCACTGATAGAAACAATATAGTTTTAAAATTAACTCATCTAAGATTGACCACAACAAAAAGGAAGAGTGAGGACCTTTGGAAATTCTTTCCTCCATGAAAGCAATAAAAATGCTGGGGGCCGGGGGGCGGGGGGGGGGATGGTTAGATTCAACCTTTTCAGAGCTCTAGAAATTAGCCAGAGGCTGGAAGCAATCTGTGGAAGCATTTATCCAAGGAAAACGACTGTGTCCCAGTAAGAAAAGCAAGTTGGATTATGCCTTGCCCTACTGCCTTTCTCCTTTCGCCAGCTCCATGGGAATCCTGAAAACCAATGCTCTGCAATCACAATGGAAATCAGTAGCTTGGCAACAACCAGAGGCAGCAGACTGAGTGAAGTGCCTTAAAAGACCCGTATTCAGAGAATTCATCACTCACATATAATCCCCAATAGTATGAATAGATGATTTCTCCTCAGAAGCATGGAGGCTGGAAAACACTGGGATGACAGATTAACAGTGTGACAACTCACTCACCCAATCAGAGGACTCTGATTGGGTGCATGTCTGTCTCTCTGTCTGTCTGTCTCTGTCTCTTATCTTTGTAGTTAGTTTTTCTTGATAATGATTTTGTACAATTTTTCAGTTGTCCTTGAACCTTGTTTTTTGTCACAGTTATAAATGTTTATTTTTATTTATTTTTTTAACACCAAAAACATTTTGTATTGGGATATAGCCTATTAACAATGTTGTGATAGTTTCAGGTGAACTGTGAAGGGACTCAGCCATATGCAATTATAAATTGTATCTCTATGGCTTTGTATAATGTTTTCCGGGTATCAAATTTCTAGTTGGTGTGGAAAGCACTGCTGTATTTTGCTTATTGATTATCTCTCTGGCCATCTGGCTGAATTTCATAACAGTAGTAATGACTCATGAATTAATGAACCATTGGGATTCATCTCTCTTAGGATTTCGATCGAAATGATCATGTGATCTCCAGTCAGTTCAATTGTTCAGTCCTGTCCGACTCTTTGAGACTCCATGGACTGCAGCACGCCAGGCATCCTGTCCATCACTAACTCCCAGAGTTTGCTCAAACTCATGTCCACTGAGTTGGTGATGCCATCCAACTATCTCATCCTCTGTCATCCCCTTCTCCTCCTCCTGTCTTCAATATCTCCCAACAACACGGTCTTTTCCAATGAGTCAGTTCATCGCATGAGGTGACCAAAGTATTGGAGTTTCAACTTCAGCATCAGTCCTTCAAATGAATATGCAGGACTGATTTCCTTCAGGATGGACTGGTTGGATCTTTTTGAAATCCAAGGGACTCTCAAGAGTCTTCTCCAGAATCACAGTTCAAAAGCATCAATTCTTCAGTGCTCAGCTTTCTTTATAGTCCAACTCTCACATCCTTACGTGATTACTGGAAAAACCATAAATTTGACTAGACGGACTTTTGTCAGCAGAGTAATGTCTCTGCTTTTTAATATGCTGTCTAGATTGGTCATAGCTTTTCTTCCAAGGAGCAAGTGTCTTTTAATTTCATGTGATCTCCAAATAATGATAATTTCATCTCTTCCCTTCTAATCTATATATGTATTTCTGTTTCCTTCCTAATTTGGTACACCCATTCAGCCTCCATTTTATCATTCATGGCCTCTTAAGGGTAGAGTTTAAACACTCAGGTCATTCATATCTCTTCTAGACTTAGTTCTCTATTTAATAATTCTCAGGATAGAAGAGTCCAGGATACAAGTTGCAGGTGGTGACAGCTGGACCACTGGGCTCTGTTGGAGATTCCTGGAAGAATGTAATATGAGGATTCATTTGAAGTCATGAGTAAACAGGCAGCCATTCTGTCAACCCAACGTCCCACTCATGGTGCAGTGATCCTTGGTGCCTGAAGAATGGGACTTGTTGCCTTCCACCATATAATTACAGACTGTCCAAGGTGAAAACTTGCTTTCAGTATGAAAACTAGATAGAGTGATCACTTACAGACAGTGGCGAGATTTTACCTGGCAGAGTCACGGTTCCTTGGGAATAGACATCTGTGCTTGGATTAGGTTGGATGTGCAGATGCAGGCTGTCATTTGCTTAAACAGTCCCATATTCCCCTGGTTTAAAACCCCCTCCCAGGGGGTTTAGAGAGAAATATTTTGCCTGTCAGCTCTGAAGAGAACCCTGTCCACTAACTGATAAGACTGGGGCAGGGTGAGCAGGCCAATTTGAGGCAAACAGAGAACGTTCTATTATGATGCGACTGCTTCCTGTTTGTCTGCCTCTCTTGCTGTGGAGTTCCTAATGATGTGGTGAAAGCAGTGGGCTTTAGTATGTATGGAGTGATGAGAATGAATGCCCCCTTTGGAAGCCTACCAGAAGGACCTACGTTTCTCAGTAGGCGGGACTTCGATCTATAACCCATGGAGTTGAAAAACAATGAAAATGAGAAAGGGATTTCATGCCAATTAAAAGAGGCCGCCAAGAACTTCCTTGGGGGTCTCATGGCTAAGACTCCACACTCCCAGTGCAGGAGGTCTGGGTTCGATCCCTGGTCAGGGAACTAGATTCCACATGCTGCAACTAAGAGTTCACATGTTGCAACTACAGATTCCATATGCTGCAACTAATACCCAATGCAGCCAAATAAATAAATATATTAACATTAAAAATAAAATATGCCTCCATATGCCTCTGATTTTATCTCAGGTGCCTAGCCATGTTCAGAAAGACCAAAGACCAATTTCTAATTCTTATCCTTACATTTGTGTAGCTTTTGACATTTTGTTGGAAGTAACATTTTGTGACTATGAATATCCAGATGTTAACTCCTCAGAATGACTGAAGACCAAGGTTTTCCCCATGCATATGAGACAATCACCCAGTGAATTCACATGTAAAGCTTAGCAGAGTTCCTGTTCAGACCATTGTGCTGCTGGCCTCAGAACTCTATTTACCATCATGTGCAAGAAATTATCTAGACCTTCTATCAGTCTATTTAAAAGTGGAAAGGGAACTAACAGTTACTGAGATTTTCATGTGGTAAGCACTGTGTCATGTGCTTTGTATACATCGTCACATTTAACTACACCAGCGTTTTGTGAGGTGCTTACTATTACTCTCAATCTATAGATGAAGAAACCAAGTTGCCAAGATGATCATTAACTGGTCCAGAGCACTAGGCTACATTGGATAAATACTGATAATGGCATGCAGGATATTTTTTTCTTTATTTTTGCCTATGCAATTTCCACTGAACAGTTCTGTAATATGTCTGAAATACAGCATTTAAATAAATATTAGCCTAATGTAGTCTTAAGTTGTAAAGAAGAAAAAAAGGCAAATGACAGAGTGTAACCATTGGTCACAAAGCTATTTACCCTGTGCTGCCTCTTTACATAGTAGACAGGCTCTGAATGGCTTTATCTCTCACACATCATTCTTTCTTCCCTGTGGATCTACAGATACTGCAGAAGAGATTCCAAAAGCTGTACAGTGAGGGAATAAACCAAATTGTCCTTCAGTGATGACAGAAGATCTACCATAAGTTAAAAGATCAGAAACACAGAAATATTTGTCATCCTTTCTAAGTGCAGCATAGAGTTTGGCATCTGATCCAAGTTGGAGCCAGATCTAACTACGAATCAAACCATATGGTTTTGTTAATTAGAAATCTCAACTAGAAGCAATACTCCTGATGGAGTCCTGGACAGCAGAGACACTGAAGAAGGAAGAGAGAAAGAAGAGAGGGAGAGAGGGAGGAAAAGAAGGGGGGAAAAAGGAATGGAGGGAGGAGGGAGGAAAGAAAGAAGGAAGGAAGGAAGAATGAAGAGGGGAGGAAGGGACAGAAAGAGGGAGGGAAGGAGGAAGGAAGAGAGGGAGGGAGGGAGCAAGTCCAATCAACGGTTTATAATCTTTCTTGGGTACACTGCTTCTTAAAGGAGCAGAGATCAAGATTTTGTTTGAATTTTTTTTTTTTTTTTTTTGTATTTTGGAAATACACTTCAGTATTCCTAATCAATGTATTAATTAAAAGATTATGAAAACTACTTTGATTTTTAAAATGTGATAATAATCAAGGTTAGCATTTTTAAAATGGTACTTAGTTTATTTCCAAGCTTAGAGCAGTTTGTTTTAAAAAGTAAACACTGTCTCCCCAAATACCTCGGAATTGTGAGGATTTCATGTCTATGTATGCTACTGAGTTATGCAACAAGTACTTTCATAGCACCATCTTTGTGCCAGGTATAATTCTAAGCATCAGTGGAACAAAAATGAAAGAAAAAAAATGTATATATTCCTGCCATCATGGAGATATTGTCTATTGAAAATTTCAAATGAAATGTCAAGATTCCGGTAGTAGATAAATGGGAACAATCCCTTGACATATCAAAGAAAACCCAATACATGTTTATAAATTCCTTGGCCAATAATCAAGGATTTTTGCTGATTCATGTCAATGTATGGCAAAAACCCTACAATATTGTAAAGTGATTAACCTCCAACTAATAAAAATAAATGAAAAATAAAAAAATAAAATAAAATCACATTGTGATAGAAAAGTTAAGAGGCACCCGCAGTCACTCCAATATTGATGAGTGTGTGAAGAACTTAGTGTACACTGAGGATACCTCCAGTCCAACAGAATAACAAGAATCAAGAGATCTGTGATGGTTCCCCCTTCTCTGCGGCCAGAGGTTTCCATCATTTGGATCTCCCCTAAGGGACGATTTAACAGAAGCAAAAATCTACTCAATTGCATTCACTACAGTGTTGCCTAAAACAGCACAAAATTCCCCACCAATAATTTGCTAATTTTTTATATGAAAAGAATGCTTTCTATGTGGAAATGGAAACTTATCTGTGTGTTTTTAAATTTTAAAAAGGCAAAGTACAGAATACCATTTTTCTTATTGTGGCAACTATTCAATATATGAAAGAAATCTGTCTAGCCAAAGACCAGGATAAAATAATGGAAAAAGAAATTATTGGTTACATGTGTGTCTTGAGATAAGAGAATATTTAATTTTTCTGAACATTATTTGAGCTTATTGCATCATCTTTCCCATACATAAAATAAATAGATGCAAGCATAGATAAAGGAAATGGAATTTACCATAGGCTGAGTGAGGGATAAAAAAAAAAATTAATCAGAGATGAGTGAAGAACAAATGAAATCAGTCATCAAGCCTGAAAATATAATACAGATGGTTCCCTGGTTGAAAATAGGAGTCCTCTAAAATTAACCATGAGCCCACCTGGTGGGATTTGGAAAAATTCAGTCAGCATCCTGC